ACTGCGCGAAACAACAGGAAGGATCTAGGCAAAGTCCCCTCTTAACAGCACTAGAATACCTCTAAATAGGGAGTTGTTCTTTATAATATTCTATAGTATATAGTTAACTGCTTTAAAGTAGTACTAGTGCTACATTAGAACTTTATCCTATATAATTAAATCTATCTAATAAATAAGGTCTGCAGCAGGAGAGTCTACACACATAAAGCAGGTAGATTTGTCTTTAATATTAATAAGTATTTTAAACTAATAATAAGCAGTGCAGCTGCTAGAAAAGAGAAGCGCAGCAATGCTAGATAATGCTATGCATAAAACAATCTTACATTAGGTCTAAAGATAAGTGTAAATAGTTTTATATAAAAAGGTCTTTCTAGTTCTACTAAGGCCCTAAATAAAGTAGCAACTAAATTATAGCATAGTAAAAATAGACTAAGTAACAGCATAAAAAACTTCTAGTTAGGCCTTATTTAGCTTATTATACATATTAGTATAATTAAAATCCTGCTTTATAGTGTTATAATTAAGCTGCTTAGTAACTAATAAATTAACAGCCTTTTACACCTAATATTCTTATAGCATAGGCATATTAAAATTAAAAAGGTTTTTTCTAAATAACTTAAGTATAGCCTAGTTAATTAGCTACAGGCATAGATCTTTTATAAAATTAGTAATGCTAAAGAGTAACACTATTTATTCTAAGCAAAGAGGCAAGTTGTTAGATAGATGTTAGAAAAACTTATTTTATAACACTATAAAATTACTTATATTTCTAAAGACTAGGGCCTAAAGAAAGACGCAACATAACTTAAAAGCAAGTGCTAAATGCTAAAGCTTAAAAAATATATACTACTATAATCTATCTTTAACTAAAAGATTAAAAGCTAAATAAGCGTCCTTAAAAGTAGGTTAAATCTAACTATTAACTATATAGAGATATTTAAAACTAATTATGCTTAGGATTTATGTAAGAAGCATTTTAAAATAGAAATGCTTTTTAAAGAAAGAACTGCAGAAGTAAACATAACTAATAGAGTACTAATTATGTTAGAACTAAGTCTATTTACTACTATCTTTCTCTAGATTCTAACAATACTAGGTTAAAAAGTTCTAGTAAAGAAGATTACACTTATTTATATAAAAGGCATTATACTTTAACTATTTTATTAATAACAATTTTTTCTATTTAACTGTAATCTCCACCTGTTTAGCACTGTCCTTGTTATAAAAGGTAACTATATGCTGTTTTAGTAAATGCACTGCTAATTAAATAACAGAAGGCTTCTTCTTATAAACTTTAAACTCTATTAATTACTAAACAGCCTTAGTTAGTCTAATATAGCGCATGTTTAGATACTAGGCAACCTTATCCTCTTACTAGATATAGATAACAACTTAATTAGTGCCCTTATAAATATACTTATGTATATATATAACTAACTTTACAGAGGCACAGACCTCTATGTTAACATGTGCGTTATACTTACATAAAAAGTATAGACTATAAGGCACTACTTAGTAATTATTAACTATAATGTTTTAACTACAACACTTTATAACCTAAGTTAAACTAAGTTAATGCTAATATATAAGATAACTGTCTTTACTAACTAGAGTTTTATTAGTGTATTCCTTTAGAAATTACTTCTAACAGGTTGCTTAGAGAGAACGCTCTGTAGTCTGCATACAGGGCATGCTAGGATTTAAGGTTCTACATAGCCTATAAACTATAGTAGTTTTAATAATGTTACTTAGGACTTTATTTAGATCTTAAGCCTTTATAAAGAGCTTAGCTTATATAACTTAATTAATAAAGTTTAAATTAAAAAACTAATTATAGTAATTATAACATAGAAAAAGTAGAATGTAAGCATAAAGCAAACCCTACTTTTAGTACTTAATAGTATACATAATACTAGTATACTAGCTAAATACATAGTTAGTCTAGAGGTCTGTAAGAAGGGAGTTAAGACGCAGCTTAAAAACGCGCGCAACTAGATCTAGCTAATCTAATAGCTAAAAGGACGTACTAATCTCCTGCTCTAACTCTAGCTATTTAGGATTAGCAGTAAAAGTAATAAATAAAGTAGGTTAACTAAGCTTTTAAATAATAGCTATAAAGTTTTAATAACACTATGTAATAAAGTAACTACTGCTAATATAACTTAAAGAAAGAATAGTCTAAATCCTAACTAAATTAGCCTAAAAGTTGTTCTAATCTAATGCATTACACACTTCTTAATATAAATTAGCACGTAACTGTCTTTAATTTACTATAATCTACTATAACTTTCTTTATTTACACTAAGCCTAGCAGTTAATAATAAATTGCTAGAATAACAGACTATAATTAAAAGGCATAATAAGACTACTACACTAGAGAAATAAGTAGAATTAGTAATACTTAGAATTAGTTAGAGTATCCTAGGTGTAAGACATGCGTGAAGTACGCAGCTATAAACTATAGTAAAACCTAAAAGTACCCTATAAAAACATTAAAACATAGTAAAAAGGCTAATATACTGCATGTGTATGTTTAATTCTTTAGTATAAAGACTAACAGTGTCTTAAATTAGAGCTAAGTTAGTAGTAAAAAATAAGATCTTAGTTATAATCCTTAACTAGCTTATTATAGACTAAAGTAGTAATTTTTTTAGTAATAAGCAGGTTCTCTTAACATTAATTAGCCCTAGCCTGTATAATTAACTATAGTTATAAATTAAGAGTAATTTATAATTCTTTATCTTACTTATAAGCTTACTATAACTACTTATGTGCAGTTTTATATATTTTAATTTAAGAATTATTATAATCTGTCTTAACTATCTATAGTAGCTGCGTAAGTATAGTTAGATTAAGACTACTATTAGCCTAATGCCCTATACACGCACTGTTAGCCTAGGCAGGATTGTAAAAGTACAGCTATGTGTAAGAAGAGATGTCCCCCTTAGCAGGCTTTAATAGGCTGTGCATATAGTACATCTCCTTTATAATCTAAAAAACTTTTACACTTATGCTATACATACTTTAATTTATTTATTTATAGTTAGCTAATGTAAAAGCTAAGGCTATATTATATAATTAAAGATGCTTTTAAAAGAATCTGCTAAGTAGGTGCTTGCCCTGCAAAAGACAACACAGGAATAAAGGTAGATCTAGAAAAGTTAGAAAGTTAATATTACCTATTAGGTAATATATAGAGTACTAAAGAGAATCTGCCTAACTCTTATTAACCTACTTTTTAGGCTAGTAAAAGGCACTGTAGTTAGAACAGCTACTTATAAAATTCTACATTAGACTAAAGTTAATAGAAGTAATATAGTCTATAGTAGTAATAATATATACTTCTAGTAAATTATTTTATAAGAGACTAGCCCTTAGTTACTCCTAATCTTTATGTATAGATAAAGATAAAGTAGGCTAATCTAGAGTGTGTTAAAAGGGTAGAAATTAGACAGGTCTTTATAAAGTTAGCTATATATTATAATAATGTATACATATAAACAGCGTAGAAGAAGTAAAAGTTAGTGTAAAAAACTTAAAAGAGGTTAATTATATATTATAATAAATCTAGACAGATAGCGTAAAAAAAGTAAAAAAAAGTGTAAAAGTCTTAAAAAGGTCTTAATATGTATAAAATAATTAATTAAGCACTAGCATTCTGCTTAATATAGTGTTATGCCTAGCATGTGCAGGTTAGCCCTAGCATAGACCTAATTAGACTGTAGTAGCGCAAGCTTAAACATGTTTTAAGGGTTATGTATTAAAGTTAACATTAGCTAATAGCTAACACGCCTAAATAGAACTAGATATAAGCGCTAAAAAATATAATAATTATAATAAAGTAACATACTACATAGCTATGTCTGTTACACTAGTAATAGGGAGCTCTAACTTTATTAGTAAGAAAGTTAAAAAAGAGTCTGTAGTTATTATAAACTAGGTAGAAAGTAGGCAATAAGTCTATATAGCAATAATATAAAAAGATAACACTGTATAATAAAAAAGAAAGAATAGGTTAAAAAAGAAAGGTACTAATTAAAAAAAGTTAAAGTAGATTAGAGATAGATTAACTTTAAGTAAATTAAAATCCTGCCTATTAAAATAGAGCGTAGTAAGGCTTATACTACACTAAATAAATTTATTTTTTTAAAGTCTTTAAAAGTATAACTCTTTTTAAAACAGCGTCTTTATTAAGTTTAAAAAAAGACTTAATTAAGCTAAAAACCTCTAAGAAAAAATCTTACATAAAAAAGAATTTAAGCTATCTAAACTTATTATCTTAAGCAATAAAACACCTTTAAGCCCTTACCCCCTATGTAATAGTTTGTAGTATGTAAATATGCTTTTAATTTTAATATAATTAGTATAGCTTTATAGCTTAAAGAAAAAAAGAAATAGTTAAAAGTGTTTTACATTAGGCTAATATTATGTTAGGTGTAATCTTAAGGCCTTTACAATCCTTTATAAAGGTTAGTAGATAATGTAGAATAACTTAATACACTTACATACATTATAAATAGCTATAATATAGTAGCTTACTATAACTTATTATTATTATAAAGTAAGGTTAACTAAGGCTGTAAAAGTATTAAAGCAGATAATGTCTAGTTAGAAAAGATTAGAACAGGTTAGAGCAGATATAGAGCTAAAGCCTAAAGTTGCACTACTGTTTTGCTTAACTAGGGGGAGATTCTCTAGAACCCTCTTTTTGCCTGCAGCAGGCTTTGCTTAGAAGGTCTTAGCAGAGCTAATTACATTTAGCAGGAAAAATTACACTGTAGAAGTAATTTTTACACCCCTAACTGTGCAGTAGTTAATTATAATAGGAAAAAAAGAAGATAGGATTAAGCATGTAGCATAGCAGAACAATTACTTAAAGCTTAAAAACAAACAGTAACGCAGCTTTTTAGTTACTAATTTTCTACTAATTAAATTAATAGCCGGCTTATATCCAGACTAATAGGAGAGAGGGCTTGGCGGTAGAGATAGTGTAATATTTGATGAAACGAGATAGGGTGGGACGGTGCGGAACTAAGCGGAACTAGGCAAGAAACGCTGACGGGGTTGCAGGGGTTGGACTTGGCACTTTGCTGCAAGGCACACAAAAAGTAGCGACAAGAAAATCCCCCCAAAAAAATGAGTCAAAAGTCCTCAGACATAGAGTTACTATTGTAATCCTCACATTGTTGTTACTCAACCTCATTCTCATTCTGATCCTCATCTTCATTGTCAGAGGCCACACCACCTGCAGCCCATCCGCCCACACGTATCGATCGTCAGCGAGTCCCCCGCACATTTTTCCAGCTTGCCGGATCGCCCATGCAGCCTATCCATCCATTCAGCCTGGCCACCCACACACCATTTTCGGCCTGCCGCTCGCACGTATCCAACTGGCGCTATCTGTCGATAACGCACCTCTTCTTGAGGAGCGTGTGCTCGGCTAACCAGGACTTCTACTCGTCCTGCGATGGCACCGCACGAAGAAGTGGTTGCCCACATTGCAGCTGCAGTAGGGGCCTTCTTTAGTAGCAAGCAATCGTTTCGCATCTTCCATGGGTCGACCAACAGCACTCGCCCCGCCCATGACAGCCGTGTTGTCGATATCACTGCGCTTTGCAATATTCTGAAGGTTGACAGACAGTCCAGTACGGCCACTGTTGAACCAAATGTTCCCATGGACAAGCTCGTCCAGGCTACTCTTGCTCATGGCATGATCCCCCCAATTGTGATGGAGTTTCCAGGCATCACAGTGGGTGGAGGCTATGCTGGGTCTGCAGGCGAGAGTAGCTCCTTTAAGTATGGGTACTTTGATCAGACTGTAAGATCAGTTGAGATGGTTCTTGCGACTGGAGAGGTTATCACGGCTTCTGAGTCTGAAAACGCTGATATATTCAAGGGAGCGGCTGGGGCTCTTGGGAGTTTAGGTATCATAACAAAGCTTGAACTAAGGCTTATTCCAGCCAAACGTTTCGTTAAGTTGATATACCATCCATACTCGACCAGGCATGACACCATCAAGGCTCTCCGACAGGCAACAGAGGACCCAGACAACGATTACGTGGATGGTATCATGTTCTCTAACACTCACGGAGTTCTGATGACTGGTCAGTTGATTAATGATATTCCACCGTCTGAAAGTCCGCAGAAATTTAGTGGGTCGTGGGATCCCTGGTTCTATCTCCATGCAATGGAAAAGCCTCTTGGGAAACAATCTACCGACTATATACCAATAGCCGAGTATCTGTTCCGTTATGATCGAGGTGGCTTCTGGGTCGGAAAACAGGCATTCAAATACTTCGGCTTTGTCCCATTCAACCGATTCACTCGGTGGTTCCTTAACGATTTCATGCATACTCGGATGATGTACAGAGCGTTGCACGGAAATAACATGTCTTTTGGGACTATGATCCACGACCTTTCCCTGCCTTACGACACTGTGGAGGAGTTCATCGACTATACAACCCAGAGGCTTGGGATTTGGCCCCTGTGGCTCTGCCCTCTGCGCGCCATGGATCCCCCAACATTCCATCCTTGCACCACTAGTCCAAAACGAGGCGAAACACCCCAGCCAATGCTCAACATCGGTCTCTGGGGCGCGGCTTCGAAGGACATGGACACCTTTATTCGCCAGAACCGAGATTTAGAAGCCTGGCTCACAGAGCTAGGCGGTCGCAAGGTCCTGTACTCCCACACCTATTATACAGAAGAGGAGTTTTGGCAACTGTATGATCGGAAGTGGTACGAGGCACTGAGGCAGCGCTACTCCGCTACTACTCTACCAACTGTGTATGACAAGGTGAAGGTCGACGTTTCTCGGCAGATGCAAACTCGAAATGTACCTTGGGTTCGAAGACTGGCGCTATTGTGGCCTTTTGCCGGATTTTTGGGGATATGGTGCGCAATTCGAAGCAAAGATTATCTTATTCATAGGCGGTTGAGCTGGATGAAAGGAAGTTAGGGAAGAAGTATTAAACAATTGAACAATAGGCTTGCTAGCTTCTAGTTGAGATCTGCGATTCGTTCCAGGAATTGTAGAGACCTGAGTTGATATTAATATAGTAAGTAGCTAGAAACTAATTTTATACTAGTAGTTAAAGCTTTACTAGATTATTAAAAGCGTGAAATACGCACTTATAGTTGTAACTAAAAGGTAGAATTATTATAAAATTAATTATAAAGCGTGCTAAATTAAGGTATTTTAACCTTTAACTAATGTAGTAACAGATAACGTTAGAATTACTTTATTTAAATTACTTAACGTACTTTACAGGCAAGTTGCTTACATACTTAAGTTGCTTACTTTTACTAAGACCCTACTAAATGTTACGGCCAACAGTCAGACCGTAATGACCCAACTGGCTGTCCCACACAGCCCGAACAACGTCGGATGGAAAACGCTTAGCCCCGCGCTGAGCGAATCACGTGACAGGACAGATAAGGAATGGCTCCAGCTTTTAGACAAAAGCCTGGCGGAATGCATCGTCCAATGAGGACCTTAGCATTGCAGGCAGTGCAGGTATTGCAGGCTGTTGCAGGCAATGCATGCAGCACCTGCAACGCATGCAAGCGCATGCAAACCCTATGTATATAGTCCTAATCACAACTATAGTTAGAAGGTTATAATTACTGTTTAGTTTATTATCTACTCTTACCCCTTTAATAAACTAAGAAGCATTAAAACCTTTATAAATAAGACATTACTAACTTGTATATCTTACACTATATATACCTCTACTCCTATCCCCACAGATTAGGTTTACTAGCTCCCTATACAGCCGCTGGGTTAAACCACAAGCCTGCCTACTCTACCCTCTCCATTCCCGCACTCTGCTAGACAGACTGTACACCTAATCTAGCTAAGTTCTCCCCTCTCTACTAAATATTATTATAGGCTAACGTACTCCTAAAAATACTATTTTGCTAGAGTAAGGATTGTAACAGTAATCACTGCTACCTGCAAAGTATAGCTACTACTACTTTAGACATTAGCATGACAGGCGCTTCAGCTGCTGGCACTAGCTAGACCCCCACAGCAACTAAAGAAGCATAAAATTAGCAGATACTCTATCTTTAAAACAAGCTTAGACAGCTTAAACAGCACCTCTAGCTACAGGCATAATAAGGAACCCTAAACGCCTACTAGATCTAAGCCCTCTAGCTAAAAATAGCTAACCTTAGAAACATTACTTAAGAAAGAACTAGTATTAAGTCTAAAAAGACCTTACGCTTAGCCCCCCCTAAAGCATTTAATAGCTCTGCTAAAGACTTAAAACCTTTCTTTACTAAATGCTACCTTTACATGTAATACAACAAAGGTGCCTTTAAAATAAATAAAGAAATAATTTTATAGATAAGCTTATACTTAGAAAGATTACCTACTATTTAGTTCTAACTTTATGCTAATAATTAGATAAGCTATAAGGCAAATAGTAAACCTTTATTACTAAAAACATAAAAAGTCTTTAACAACTTTAATTTATTTAAAGCAGCTCTAACTATAATCTATAGGCTAGTTAATAAAGAAAAATAAGCAGTTAATAAGATAAACGCTCTCTAATAGAGCAACAGCTCTGTCTAATAATATGCAGCCTGCTTTAGGGAACTGCTAGCCATCTATAGATAGACAGACAAGAAGGCTGTAGGACAAATGTTCTACAAAGGGCTTTTAGATACTATTAAAAATAAATTTACTTATACTAGAAAGCCTAAAAGCTTTAAGGATTACATTAAAAAAGCACTTACTTATAATAAAAGACATGCTAAATAATGTAGTAAAAAAGAAAAAGGCTAGACAACTAGAAAACCTAACTAGTTCTAGAAGAAGAAAAAAGTTCTACAGGCTAATAGTAAACCTATAGACCTTAGTTACGCTAAACACATGCGTAGCTTCTCTAAGAAAAAAAGTAATACCTCTAGAAGTATAAGGCCACCCCTAAATAAGGAATAGAAGAAATAGCTTAAAGAAAAAGCATGCCTTAACTGCAGAAAAGTAGGCTACTTCTGTTAAAAATGCCTAGACTCTAAATAACTAGGGAATAAAAATAGTAGATTAACTATAAAAGTAATGTATATAAAATAAGGTCTAACAGAATAAGAGATCCTAGAAAGATTAGATAAACAACTCTGCTAGTAATACAGAGATAATTATAAATCTAAAAGATGCTTTATAGAATACTAAAAAGTTAAAGTATAAGATAATAATAAAGCCTTTAAAGCACTAAAACAGGCAGCTACTTATAAAGGATAGTAAGGCTATACCTAAGCTGCAACATATGTCGCGAACATTTTAAAAAAAAAAGAAAAGTTTTCTTTAGAATAACTAATAATAAGAATCTTTGCTTAGAAGCTAAGATATTAATTTACTTATAGTAACTGCTAGAAATATAGTAATACACATAACATATAAAGCTGTAAAAAATTAATGTATAAAGTGCGCATTAATAATAATGCTAAAACCTACAGTATACTAAAAGAAATTGCTAAGACACATTACACAGTTATAAACACTAAAGAATAATAAAAGATGTTCTAGAAAATTCTTAACAACAGAAAAGGCTCTAACTAGTAATGCACACTACTATTAACACCTAACCTATGTTAAGAACAAACTACTACTTCTCCCCTAGCATTAGCTATTACCTGCAAAGACCTAGAAATCTAATAAGATAAGAGATATTATATTCCCTGTAGAAGTAAGTAACATAATAAGTTCTAGTGTACCTACTAAAGTTACCTGCTATAAATAATAAGAACTAAGGAATATCTAAGGTAGACATAAGTTTAACTAATCCTAGTACAAAACAACCTTTAGGGATGTCCCTACACCTAGTACCTATGCAGCAATAAATACTGTATTAAGCACTAGCTAACTAAGCATAGGGCTAGCTAATGCCTTATTAATAGAGTATAGTGTAAAATAAATTTAACTTAAAACAGAAGAACTTATTACTAAAGCTAAAAGAACTAACAACTAGATATCCTTTAACATACTACTGCTAAGAGGCAAATACTAAGCAATACTAGGCTATAACTAGCTCTATAAGCATAACCTACTAATTAATTAGTAAACTATGTCCTTAACTAACTAGAATTGCAAGGAAGCAGCACAGTTAGCCTTCTATAAAGACTTTAGTAGGACCTATTAGCAAGAAATGTAAAAAAGTTCCCCTGTTAGGAACTAGAGGCCTAGGCTGTCTAGCTAATAAAGGAAGAGCTAGAAGAAATCTTTTTTAAAGAATTTAAAAAAGAATAAGACCTTAATTAGGTTAGAATCTATTAAATAACCTATAAAACAACTAGACTACTAGAAGAATACTAAGACTATAAGAATATGTTTAAGACCCTAGAAGATCTAAGAGAACTGCTACTACATTAGCCCTAGGATTACGCTATTAATTTTAAGCTAAACCTACAGCTAAAAACACATAAACTATAACCCCTAATAAAAGCTTAGAAGGACGCTTTGCAAAAGTACGTAGACAGAATGCTAGCTTAAGAACACATTAGAGAAAGCAACAGTTTAGTAGCATTAGCAGTAGTTTTTACAAAGAAGAAAAATAGCAAAGTAAAAGTATGTTAAGATTACTAAACCTTAAATAATAACACTATAAGGGATTAATACTCTTTACTAATTATTTAAGACATTATAAACTAACTTAAAGGAACTAAACACTTTACTAAGTTTAATGTCTAAGATAGATTTAACAAAATAAGGATTAAAAAAGAACACAAATAGATAATAGCTTTTTAAACCTTAGGAGGATTATATAAACTTCTTATTATGCTATTTAGACTAACTAACGCCTTAGCAACCTTCTAATAAGTTATTAACACTGCACTTAACCCCTACCTAGATATATTTGTACTTATGTATCTAAACAACGTTCTAATATACACTAAAAAGGACTAAGAAGACTATGTATCTAAAGTAAAACTTGTACTTAACTAACTCTAATAATATAGACTTTACTTATAACTAAAAAAATGTAAGTTTAACATATAAAAAACTAAATACTTAGGATTTATTATTAATAAAGAAGAGATAAAGATAGACCCTGCTAAAGTAAATAAGGTACTTAACTAGCTAACACTAACAATAGTAACAGAAATTAAAGGATTTCTAGGCCTTACTAGCTACGTACAAAGAATAATTAAAGACTACTTAAAAATTACACTTCCCCTTACAGACGCCACCTTAAAAGAAAGGGCAGCTTAGAAATTCTAATAGACAGTAGAAATAGAAGAAGCCTTTTAGAAGCTAAAATAAATAATAACAAGCTACTCTATCCTTAGAATGTACAACTCTACACTAGAAACAAAAGTGCACACAGACGCCTTCTTAAGAGTAGAGGAAGCAGCACTCTCTTAAAAACAAGAAAATAGTTAATAGCATCTAGTAGCTTATTACTTAGCAAAGTTTACACTACTAGAACAGAAATATACTATCTCTAATAAGGAACTAAAAGCTATAGTTAATGCATGCAGAAATTAGAAAGTTAAGCTCTAAGGTCTTAGTTAATAATTTATAATTCTTACTAACTATGTAAACTTTATTACCTTTTTTACTACTAAAAAACTCTCACCTATGCATGTACAATAGGCTATAGAACTTGCCTAATTTAATTTTATTATTAAACATGTAGCTAGAAGCAGCAACTAGCAGGTAGACGCCCTAAGTAGACATGCTAACTACTTTAAAAAAGATAAAGAAAATTCTAAAGAATTTATAATCTTTAAAAAAACTCTAGAAGAACTAATCTATAGAGGACTAGACTAAGAGAAACTACTATGTTCCTTTATAATAGTTAAACAAGAATAGAAAAACCTAATAAAGAAATATTATAAAGCCCCTATGTTTAGACACCTAGGAATTAGATTGCTATAGAAGAAAATTAAAACAGCTATACTCTAAGAAGTACTCTAATTAAAACACTTATGTGTTACAATCCTTGCTTCGGGAAGCACTCAGGTCTGTTGGTATTCCTCGGGGGGAAGGAGGACGGATATAAGGGGCCAATCCGGTAGGGTGTACAGTCCTACGTACAGGCTATTGGGCTAATGGAGGCTTGTGGAGAGTGACCGGATTGTGGTTTGCCCTATGTGCGGCAGTAGGGAGGCCAGGGTCAAACAGTCCTTATCAGACAGGGTTAGAGGTATATATAGTGCAAGATATACAAATAGTATTGCAGCTCCTTAGAAAGCTAAATGCTACTTAGTCTATGTAGAGAATAAACTAAACGTTAAACACACCTTCTAAAGGTTGTTTAAAGTGGGAACTATATACATGTGCTGGGACGCTAAGGGGAGTTGGCGGAGTCTATGGGAGCCTGCTAAGGGGAGCTCCTTGAGCTCCCTTGAGCTCCCCCAAGACGCGGCCTGTTTCCTTACTAGACAACGCATTCTTCTATAATCTCGGGCAGCCGCGCTATCTCCTTGTCTTCTGATTGGTCTGTAAGCGAGCCCTGTCCCAATCCAGCTAGATTGTGGAGCACCGCGGGTGGAGTTACGTTGGTCCAACCATAGACCGTAACATTATGTACTAAAGTCTTACAGGAATGTAATACCCGCAACTA